CGCAGCCATCATGTGTATGCACCACACGGACGGCTGCGGCACCATGCGGACCTTGTCGGATGGGGTATTATGCAGCAGACAGTTACACAGCCATTGTAGCTGTATATGGACACGGTTGGGCGGTTGAAATGCACCTCGTCATCCCACTTTCCACAGTCACCAGGATAGGAAATGGCATACATGTGCATATGTTACATTTCTTGGTCACTGAATAGAGGCGGACTAATGTGGGCAGGTACCAGATGAGCGGTCCTTCCATATACCACGGCCATAACCCACAAGTATGCCGCCCCTTGGTTCTCACCTTACCACGTAAACACTGACCGAAGCCCAGAAGTGTGCCGCGTCTTCATCTGCAGAGGCACAAGCATGCTTGGTTGATTCTTGAGATGCGACCCCGGTCTTTCGTACCGGATATGTTGGCGATGTTGCATAGACGCTGCAATGCAATACAATGGTCGACCCCGCCAACCAAAACTACACATGCTCAGCTGAAGATATTCCCGATGCGCCAGGCCCTCCAAAAAGTGTGCTGCCATGCGCGCGCCAGCTGCCGCACTGACAGCACCCACCGTGAAGATGTCTGCATCAGCCTGCGCCCCCGACAATCGCTGAGGCACGGGCTGCAGCGCGTTGTGAATGCAGCCGCCCGCCAACACCAGCCCGTCCCCAGAGGGCGAACCATGCTCCGCCCTCAGAAGCAGTCCCTGCTCTGCAGCCCAGGCGCGCGTGCTGGCCAACGCCTGCACCACGATGCCCAGGATGTTCCTGCTGACGAAGTCCATCACCGTGACGCCGCACAGCACATGCTTTTCGCGGCCGTATACGGCCATGTGCATACGTATGCCGCCGACGTGGACTGCAGAATCTCGTTCGCACGCGCGCTGGGCAACGCCACGCATTCCCGGAGCGGGAATGCCAGGGCCCAGCCATGAAGGACATGCCGCCGAATGATGTCGAAAATGGCTGCCGCGGCCACATCCCTCATCGCCGACCTCGCCTGCTGCCCATCCTCCGCGTGCACATGAGTGATGTACTGCACAGTCTCTACCTCTTCTGGGCACGCCGCTGATACTACATTGGACAGCACGGCCAGCGACGTCGTGCAATTGTCCATTATGGACGCCAGCCGCGCCAGCCGCTCCAGATCTGTGTTCGCCACCGCCTGCAGCATTTCAAATAGCTTGCTCACAACTTGCAATGCGAGCGCCTCCACGACTTCCAGTATGCCGCACGGTGAATTGCGCGCTGGAAACCGCGAACGTTACTTACTGCCATTCTTGGAAGTGCTGGTTATCGTCCACACAGTAATGCGCCGAGGTGGCCGCTGGAGTGCCAGACGTCTGTCGCCGACCAACCAGGCTGTACAGTACTCCGCTAATTGTCTTTTTTTAAAGGCACAACACTTCGAATCATACAGAAATTTTATACTTTTGTGTCATGACACCTACTCGGCTTTATGTACACCCCGCGCTACTTCCAAGCCGCGCTACGTCCTGTGCCTTTTCGGGCCTCGCGTCGCTGGACGAGTCCGCGGCTACAGCACCGCCGGCCGCTCCGCCTTCCGCGACGCCCCTTCCGCCGCTTCGCCCGACCTACCATCTAGCCTTGAGGTTGCATCTTCATCAACTCCTGCACTTCACCTCCCGCATTGCAACTCCTCACCGCTACGATCGCTGTTGCCGCGGTTGCCGGCAGTTGCCGGCAGTTGCCGGCGGTTGCCGCCTCGCCGGCAGTTCTTTGGAACTGTTCGCCTTTGCCAACCGGCGCACAGCCGGATTGCGCTTTGCGCTTTTTCGCATGCACCGTATCTACATGCCGGCGAGGCATCGTTCTCGTCCGCGTGTGCTTCATTGTGAATGGTCTGGTTCTGCTCTGGATCGCTAACATTGCGAGGAGCGTTCGTGTGCCCAGACCGCGCTGGCCAGCCGGGGCTCTTCCTTCGGCCGCGAGTAACTCTCGCGCTTCGTAAAGAGGCCCCTTTCCAAACAATTTCTCACGTCTTTACAGTTGCGCAACGCCGTCAGCACCATGTCCCCAGTGCCGTCTCCTCACCACCTAACGCACTTTACTTCATTTCATACATTACACACCAATCCTGTCCGAACTCGCGTTCACAACCGTGCGGGCAACCTGCACGCCGCTCCTGGCTTGCGACAGCTTTATGTTGTGCTCGGCGCAACGCGCCGCTTTCACATTTCAGGATGACCACCCATGTCCATGGCGCTTTATTCATTTCCGCATACAACTTGTCCCAGCGCCCCACCCGTTACCGTTGCTGCCGTCGCCCATGCTCGCCATGCGAAGACGTACTGACCGCCCTGATTCAGCCCGCCCCCTTGAAGCGTCCCGTTTGTACGATGTCGCGACATGTATAAATGCCAGCCTGTGTCGCCTACTTTTTCATACATTTTCCTGTTTCCATTTTTTGGCTTATTGACCGAACTCCCCTTTGCGGACGGCAGCCAGCCAGACTTTCGCTTCGCTGACACCTGCTCTGCTGTTGTAACCTCGCACAACATGCCTCCGAAAATGGCACGCCAATCACAAGTCCCACCTCAGACCCTTTCGCCCACCAACTTGGGCGCTTACGGCACGCCTTCGCCGAGCCTGCCGGCGGGCTCTTCCGCCGGCGCCACAGCCAAGCCACCCGTCAACATAGCTGACCTGTGGGCGCAGCTAGCAGCGGCGTCGCCAACCGGCGGAGGCCGCGATCACTCCTCGCCGGCCGGGGTGCCGAGACGGCCGCTCACCTTCAAGTAAGCGCCTCATCTTCCGGTACTAGTAGCTGCCTTGCCGCGCCGCACCCTACCAAACATTCCGCATGCCATCCCTGCTGCGCACCCACGCTCCTCTCCGGCTGTCCCATGCATCCACCATCTTGAGACGGCCTGCTGCTGCCCCTCGTACCGTCAGGCAGCAACTGCTCTTGGGAAGCATGCGATGTCACGACGAGGACGTCCTGCGCGCAAACCACACCAACGCTAAGTTTAACGTGCTCCTGGCCGAGGGCCGAAAGTACAGGGACGACTTCCAGGCGCAGCACGGCGCCAAGCCCGCCAGCAGTAAGTCGTCCTACCTTGCTGCCCATTGCTCACTTGCGCCAGCCGCCGTCCCCCGTGCCCGCTTTCCAACTGCCCGGCCATGTGGCCACAGCATCCTTATGTCACGCCCCGCCCCTGCATGCCTCCACTTCCGCCCCGCCATCCCGCCAAACTCACATCCACCCTCCCTCCCTCCATGCCCGTGCAGCGTTCTTGTACAACGTGACGGCAGAAATACACGAGGGCGACATGCCGGACAAAGCGACGGCAACGCACACGACAATCATGCAGCTGTGGATCGCGGCTGCTGGCAGCCTGCGTGGGGATACCGCCATTGCGCTGATCTATGATTACGGCATGGACGCGGGCACCGTCCTCAAAGCGGACCAAGACTTCGCGCTCTCGGTGCTGACGGCCGCGCAGCAGGCGTGAGCGTCGGGCGCCCTCCTGGCCACAACCACGCCAGCCAAGCGAGCCGCAACCAGCCCTGCCGAGCCACATTCCAGTGCCCCCGCCCGCACGTGACTATATACCATCACGTGCGCACCGACCGGCAGGGTATACGTCGGCCAGTCCCGGGACCCTCAACGGCGCTTCCAAGCTCATGCCCGCAACCCACCCAGCCGGATGAAGGACGACGCCCACCGCTACCAACCCTTCCGAGACCACTTCACCCTCACACGCCTCATGTCCACCGCCAATCCTGCTCTGGCCCAAAAGATGGAGGCCCTCTACATCGCGCAGTTCAAGGCCCGGGGGCCGGGCGGCTACAATGTGCTGCATGGGCCGCCTTCTGCCAGCCCGGCCTTCTACGCGATGAGCCGGCAACGCGCCGGCAGCACCCACACGCCCACCGCCGTCACAGTCCAAGACGATGACGCCCCAGCCACGCTTGCCTAGCCCACACAGCAACTGGACACCTAACGCTTGACGGATAGGGTCCCACGATTTCGACGCTAGGCTTCTGGACATTGAGCAGTGGCTGTTGTATTTGGGCACGATCGCACTTAGGGTTTCATTCACGTTGCATACATGTCCAACCTTAACTCGTGTGTGAACGGCGGCTGCTGCCCATACGGACAACAGCGCTTGGGATGGTCTATTGTGTGAGCGTTGGGGGAAGGGGGGCCCCCGCTGCGCTCCTTTCTATATCCGCTCATCGCGTGCTCGGGTGCAAGTTGGTAGCGTGCGAGTTCACCCATCATGTTGCATGTTCTGGCATGGCCATCCACGCGCGACATGGAACTTGTACCTAGGCCTTATTCTTCGTTCCTACATCATAGCAAAGGGCCAACGCGACGTGGCCTGTGCACGCGCTGTTGCTGTGGTGCTGTTCTTGTTCTTGTTGTGGTTGCTGATGTTCTTGCATACGCGCGCGCGACGACATGACTGCATGTACATTGCGCCGTGCGCCACACGCCCTTTAAGCAGCTTCGACTAAACAGCTTCGACACTAATCTCACATTCCAATATGCCACTGCACTTTCCTCTCCAGCCTGGCCACATTCTCTTCCTCGCAAACATACTTGGGCACCTTACAATCCAACACCATACGTGCTTTGGATACGCGGGCAGCTGCTTCACAAGGACCCCCCTCTTTGCGTGTACATCGGCCCGTACACAGACCCGTACACAGGCATGGGCAGCAGGCGGCTCCTCTGCCGTACAGCTAGGGTTGCCATGGCTTTTTGGTGTGGATGTCCTTTGAGACGCCTGGGTAGCTGATGACACCGCGGCATGGGGTACGACGGCAAAGGGCTTTTTGCGATTATATCCCGTGCCACAGTGCCATCAGCTAATCAGGTGTGCGTGGGGGATTCTGGCTCTTTTTGTGACGTGACCTATTTGACGAGGGCAGGCCCCCGCGGGAACGGGAGGGACACTGCGAAGATGTGTCGCGGCTGCGTGGGCCGATGATGAAATTTCTGTCTGTCTATCTGTCTGTCTATCTGTCTGTCTATCTGTCTGTCTGGCGCCGGTGCGGTATCCTCCGTCTGCAAAGACTCTACAATTTGAGGAGGCCTTGACGCGCGGTGCGGTCGCTGGAAGTCGATGCGGCCAGGCAATGGATACGCATGCATGTCCGTGGAACGGTACCGTGAGACCGTGAGGGGCGTACCCGGACCATCCATCCGGTCAAAATTGGCCCCGGCACGGGTGCCCACGCTCGGATGTGCGTGTGTGTGTGTATGTGTAAGTTTGAACTCCATCTGACGATGTACAACATCTGTTCTTTTCGAGTTATCGGTGTTTGTAGACAAGGACATAAGAGGTATGGCAGGCCCAATTTCTTGATGTTTGTATAAGGTTGTATGTATGTGTGTATGCATGTATGTATGTATGTATGTATGTATGTATGTATGTATGTATGTATGTATGTATGTATGTATGTATGTATGTATGTATGTATGTATGTATGTATGTATGTATGTATGTATGTATGTATGTATGTATGTATGTATGTATGTATGTATGTATGTATGTATGTATGTATGTATGTATGTATGTATGTATGTATGTATGCATGTATGTATGTATGTGCGTGTCAGGCGCGTGTACATCACTAACGTCAAACCGTTAAGTGCACGTGTGTGTATTGGTACATACCTGCGTGTGCGTCCCATTATTGGTGGCACGGATGCCGCTGCTGGCCGGCAACCAAACATCAATCCCCGATTGAGAGGAGGGCGCTTGTTGCCAATCAAGGTCTCCTCCTTTTGCTACTGGTGTAATTGTAAAGAAACGCCGACACCTCAAGGTTTACAATCCCAGTACAAAAGTATGGCTTTGCCGGGAAAAAAGCAACGCGAGCTGAACGTGAATATCCATCTTATCGTCCAATTTCTCAGGGCTGCCTGTCCTAGCTTCCGTTGCAAGTTTGCAGAGTCCATTTTCCCTCCAGCCGTCCACTTTGGGCCACTTGATCCAGCCGGTACACAACCGGAGCCAGGGCACTAAACCAGACCACCTACCCATATGCATATTATGGACGTTTAATCCAATACATTTTAACAACCCCCTTTCATCCCTCCCTCCTCACACCCCCTCCCTTTCCCCCTCCCTCCTTTTATACAGCCCTCCATCCATCCTATGGCACAAAAGGGTCTAACCGACCGGTTAGCTAAAACCCAACCGGTCGCTTCGGTAGGGTAGCCGACATTTGGAGATAACGATTTACCGACCGGTAACCTTATTAGTCAGTGACCCTCCAATTACTGGGTCGTTAGCTCGTTACGTCGGTTTACCTACCGGCCAGGTACCGAAGCGATTAGTTACCGACCGCGGTTTGGTAGGGTTGTTACCGACTGCTGGTGACAAACAAGACGAATAATCCGATTGATCTCCGTGAAGGCACTGGGCGACAAATGCAGAGGAGCAACTGCCTCCCGGCCATCGACAAGCAGCTTGTCGCCAGGCTTGCAGCGGCATATACATGGCAGCCGTTCCCATAAAAGCCAGCATTTATATTCCTAATTGGTTTTTCCAAGATGCGAATTTCCGTGCGAGCGTGGTTAAAATGGTTCTCTAGCGTATTTTCTGCATACCGTACTGCCACGATTCTTTTGTGATACGTGTTTTGGGGAAGGCCCAAAATTAACGCTGAAATTATTTTGATGATATGCAATTTTGGGGACGGTCACGAGAAAAATCTACAGTTGTGATACACTTTTGGTGACGGCTCCAGGGCGTCCCGCGGGCGTGCTCACGCTTCGCGCGCTTACGCTTCAGCGTCTACTACCGCCAAGCTGCTATCAAAGTCCGTCTCGCGCTCAGTCCTTGCAGCCTCAACCTCCGGCGCCACTCGAACGCTGGTAATGCCTGCCCTGAGCTCAATGGGAGCATTGGTGTCGAGCTTGGGTAAAAGGCTAGTAAGCTTAAGCTGTTTAGGCGCCATTCTGAGCGCGCTTTCTGAGGGTGGGCCTGTAAGCTAAAGTTCTTGTCCGATCAACTTAGGGGTAAAAGACGAAGATAACTACTAGCCAACAGCGTCTTCTGGAGGGCTTTACTGTTGGTCGATACCGTTAACACGGTGTACGACACATTTGTGACAGCCAGTTTGGTGATGCCCATAAAATTTTGCCTAAGACCTTTTTCCACTGCTATGCATTTGGGGACGCCATACCAATTGCGTGTCACCAAAGAATCGTATCAGTACGGTACAGCAAGTTGCAACCACAAAATGTTATGCGGGTCCTACTACGGGTGTTTTACAAACGATTTTTGCAACATTGATAGGGTAGCCTATCGGTAGGGTAACACTTCGGTAGGTCCCCTGTAACCCCACCGAGGCCGCACCCATCCCTCCCTCCTTTCTTCCTTCCTTCCCTCCCTCCATACATACATACATACATCCCTCTGCACATCCCTACCTCCACACATACATCCTCTATCCCTCCTTACACCCCTCCCTTTATAAATCCCCCCCTCCATCACTTCCCATCTCCGCTGCCATCACACTCCAGCGTAATTGCGCAAAGCACACACGCACTATGCAAAAGCCCGGCCCGGCTCGCGCCGGCGGCCTGACAACAAGTCCAATCATCGCGCGTTGCCTGATCCGGTGCTAGCCGACGCAGGTCCTAAGGGTTTGATCTCAGCTCGAGGGATTGGTTGGCGGCGGCGCGGATCGCGTGTGGGGGAAGGGGGGGTCTCCCGGCGGCGAGGTACGACACATCCGTGTCGGCCCTCTCTTCACCCCTCGGAGGCCCCCACCCACACCACCACCTCAAAGCACCCCCAGCCCGATGCTCTGTAGCTCTCTGTCTGTCTGTCTGTCTGTCTTAATCCGTTGACGCTCTCTTCCTACCTTCCTCTCGTCTACCTGTGCGAATCACCTTAACATCTCGCCGTAAATTGTACGGCAATCGCCCCAATACCAATACCACTTTACAACAACCTGTGCGTGGTCGCCATCCTGCCACCATCAAAAGGATGTTTGCCCCGTTGTGGGCACTGGGCACTGAACACCGCACACCGCCGGTGGGTCAATATTTACCACGGTGCAGAGACGTCGTCGCTGGCGCAGGCGCCGCCCCGCTCCCCGCCATACCGTATGACACAGAAGTACGACATCATAATGATCTGTGTACGGCAGGACGTTAAGGACCGCATCACAACGCTCCCAAACCCGTTGCCAAGGACGACTCGCAGATGGGCCCCAGCGGTGTTGCACATCTCCCACCCCCCCAGTTACCCCCGCAGGCGGGTGGGGGACCGATATTGGGCTGTGCTAAACGTCGGCCCCAAAACAGCAAAACCGCCGCCGCAGCCAAGCAGAAAAGCAAACAACGCTCCAAGCCGTTCCGTACGTCATCTTTCATCACGTGTTGTAGTACGAAACCCGTATACACATCGCATGGACTAACAGCAGGAAGGGTTTTCGATTTATACTTTTTCGAGCAGAGCAATGGGGCCGATGAAATTGAGACCAAACCCCAAAAAGACCCACGCCGAACGAACACCCGGAACAAGGCACCCGCACCCGCACCAACACCATACACTACACACACAACTACAGACCGGCGGTGTTATCTGCAGGGGATCTGACCCCCCTCCCCCCCGTATGGAGGTGCGCAGTATTAATCCATATAAACATACGGACATAAGCTAAACAACGCTGCCCTCGCGCCGCCTCGCTTTGAGAGGAGGAGCAGCACAACGCCACCGTTGCGGTAGCGGCGGTGATCGCGGTGTCCTGCTGCCGTTGGCGAACACCCCATCTTTTCCCGCACACACCGGGAAGTGGGGGGAGCCCGCAGCCACCACCTCGCCAAATGATCTCACCAAAAGGCACCGGCAACGCAAAACGACAAACATGTGGCCGCATCTTTGCATGCAATTCTTCATTTTCACACTTTTTCCTAATAAATATTCTCGCCTAATTGCAACACCCACAAAAAAATGTGCAGCACATGCGAACAACATCTTTTCGCGGGAGGCACGGACACAAAAGACAGAATGACGAGCTAGAAGCAATTTCAGCTGCACCAATTTATTAGAAGCTGCTGCTGCTGCACGTAACAAAAACAACAAGTGCAACAACTGCCGACGTACACACTGTACGGCAGGTTGCCAGTTGTGTAGCGCGATAGCCCAGCAGCGATAACCTTAGAAGCAAAACACAACACAACACAACACACGGAGCGCAGCCGCCCCCCGACAGGCCACTGTCGTATTGTACGGTAGGAAGCACATGCATATATGTATATGTATGTATATATGTCTGCGTGTGCGGTTGGGAGGGGGATAAAAACACCTCGCTCCCCACCACCCTCCACAGACGGCCCTCCGCGTCCACATAGGCAACCGTATTCTTCTTCCTCTCCCAGCTTCCCTACACACACACACCCACAGCCCCAGATGCAACACAACGCAATGCTGAGCCCGGGGGGGCCCGGGGGGGGGCCCCCCCCGGGGCCCCGTTGACCTGCTTAGCAGGGCCCACACTGATAGGAGGCGCGTACGGCACCCTCACGGATGAACCCCTTACCGCCACCAGCTGGGTTCGGCAACTGAGTCGTCTCTGAGTAGCTCTGTACGGCGCCAGATTTGCCGTACATAGCTGCGTCCGTCGAAGAGGTTCCGCTCGATGCACACGGTGCCGCAGCAGGTGTGTAGCGCAGCAGTACGGCAATGGGCCGCGTCCATCGGTACGACAGGAGGTCATGGCTGCAGCCGCTGCCTGGGAGGTGCATTTTTTTGGGCGGGGGGAGGGAGGGAGGGATGTTGGCGACATGGTCGTGTGACATGAAATGTTGCTCGGGCTTCGCCAAAATAAATCTGTTTTCAAACGGAGCAGTTGCATACAGAATGAAGATCTGACCTTGTCGCTACCTCCATGGCCTATTAACCCGACTGACTCAACACCTAACGCTAACCTTTTAGAACCGCGACCCATCTGCCTGCACCCATTACTTGGCGCGGTCTACCTTCCACGGACGCTCCGAACCGGGACAATGGGGACCCGACGACATTCTCTTTACTGCCACTAGAGACTCTCTCTCTCTCTCTCTCTCTCTCTTTCTTTCTTTCTCTCTCTTCTTCAACATTCGACATTCTCCCGACATCACTTTCTTCAGCACTCGACTGGTTGGCCTACCGGTGATAAATCCGAATCCGGGCAGCCTGCAGAGGACATCGGAAATGCCGCATCCGTAGAATCCGAGCAGACGGAGCAGACCGGCCGGCACCGCCCACATCAGTGCACCAACCAAGCTGAATCCGCTGGCCACCAGAAATATATCCCAGTCGTACAAGTTGCCGTACCAAACGTACCTGCGGTACAGAGCTGGATTACATGAGTTGCCAGTCACGGCTTAGATTGCAACACCGCCCATACGTGCGCATACACAAGGCTGCCCCCGGACAGCTCAGCGCAGCACAGCTGCCGTACCCTTTCCTTCCTTCCCCCTTCCCCTCCATACATACTGCCGTGGATGCCGCGTGCAGCTGCCCCCCTTCTCCTCCCCGCCTCACCATGCACCGTACGACGCCGACCAGCCCTTGCGACCTATGCCGTACAACGTGACCGTTACCATGCCCACGCAAAACCCAAACACCAGCGCGGTTTCGCTGAAGAAGGGTTTCAGTCGGTTCGACAGCCCGAGCCCCACAAGCAGGAAACAGCAGGTCGAGAGCAGGTTGGTGGTCAGGAAGAGCGACAGGACCTTGTAACCTGGTACGGCAGTACGGAAAAACGATAAAGGACGAGCGGTTGGGCGACTGCGCAGTTAGGTACAAAGGGTTGTTTTGAGTGGAGTGTACGAACATACACATGTGTGTGTTTTGGGGAATGGGGATGAGGACGGGGTGGCGCGGGGGAGGGCGAGGCGACATGCATGGACTTGGGCTTTTTTGGGTTAACACGGGGTCGCCGTGGAGCACCTAAGGGCCCGCGGGGTAGGGGGCGGGATGAACATTAAGGGAAGGGATCAGTGCAAAAGTGACCAGTGCAAAAGTGACCAGTGCAAAAGACTCATCCCCCGCGTCCCTCGCCCTGGCACAGGACGACGGGTCGGTATGGGTCCACACACGGCCACCGACCCGCCGACCCGCCCAGCACCGACCTTGCAGCGCAATGATGATGAGCGGAATGTTGACGCACACGGTGACCAGGCGCGGGAAGACGGTGTGTTGGCCCTTGAAGAAGTGCTGGGCGAGCACTGCGGTGATGCCGTTTTGAATGGAATCGATGGCGGACTCGTTCATGGTGGCTGCCAAGATGAGCGTTACGACACCAACCCACGACGACACCTGACACCGCAAGGGTGACACACACACGAGGGTGGTTAGGAATTTCAAGTGGGGGGAGGAGAAAGGTATTTTAGCCGCGAGATGGGGAGTTAGCCGTAGCCACGTGAACTAATGTCCGCCTCGTTATATGACCCGTGGTGGGTCGCTTGGTGGGTCTGTGCTGCTGCTGCTGCTGCCCACTAGCAGTGAGGGTGGGTGAGTGAGTGAATGCCACTGACCTGAACAGAGGCACCTGTGGCGGCGGCGTCGCGCTCCGAAGAAAACACCTGCGGCGCGATTCGGGACCAGTTGGGTGGGTGGTGGCGAGGAAAGGACAGGAAGGCGGGAAAAAGGGGGGAGTTAAGGTGCTCTCAGTGAGTACGGTAATGTATCGGTACGGAATGTGGATGGAGTGCCGTACGGCCGCATGGAGCACTGGATGTTGGTGTTGATGTGATCTGGGGTATTTGGGAAACCGGTCGCCGGCAAGAACAGTAGCCTGGTGATGACGCGTTTTGAAATCCAATTAGCTTGGATCTTGATGTGGTATGGATCCGTGGAGTCCATGATGGAACTGCCAAAAAAAGATCTGGATCTGGGCCGTCACGTGATCTGAATCACCTGGGAAGTGATCTCCTAACATTTCAAAGCACCCCACCCTCAAAATCCCCTGTGAGGACACCCCCTCTCCCCCCCTCCCACCCCGAGCAACCCAAACCCGTCACATACACATACTACACGCCTACACAACATCCCGTACATCCTCTCCCACGTACATCATCCCGTACACCGTGTATCCTTGGATACTCCATTCACTCACCTGGAACAGGTAAAGATTGTAATCGGTTACATCCGTGATGTAACCGCCCCACGCCGCCAACCACCCTCCGAAACCAAACAGAAAAACTGCCACCATGATCAGCAGGAAGCCAACGCCGCCGCCAAACACGACAGCACGGCGGCTCTCGGACGCCCAGACCTTTTGCCACATCGCCTCCGAAAAGACAGTCGCCGCCATAAGTGAACATGGCATGGAGTAAATTGTGCCGTAGCCATTTACATTGGGTCCTAGATTCTCGGGCAGCGGTTTAGGAAGTGAATCCGGGCGGAAGGTAACGGCGGTGTAGATGACGAGGATGAGAATGAAGAGCGCCGTGAAGATGCCCTGCGCCTGGTCCGTGATGATGGAGATGTAGACGCCGCCGTAGGCTGTGTAAATCATGGTGAGAGCGCCGACAACGATGATGACGGGGTAGTCGACTGAGCCGACGAAGTATTTGAACAACAGTCCAATCGTGGTGTATTCCGCGAGGACTGTGGGACCGGAGTTCCGTCGACCAGCACGCACAGGGTAGCAGCACGGGGAAATAGGTGGATGGATGGGTGGGTGGATGGATGGATAAGAACTGGACATGTGAGCATTGCGACTTTATTGTGTTCGAATCAGCTGTTGTTAGGTTGTTGCTGTTGCTGCTGTTGCGGTATCGTGTAGGTCTTTGCTTCGCACAGCGACAAGGTCTTAGGGGGAGGAGGAGGAGGGGAGGGGGCGAAAGAGGAGGAGGAGGAGGAGGAGAAAGAAAGGATGCCTGGACTTGCGTTCTTGCTGTGTGTATCCGCGGGCCGCGCCACCGTCGTGGTGTAGTTTTATTATGGCCCCGTGGCATAGACTGCAGTGCGCAGGCGGGGAAATCTGTGCGTACGTGCCGTGCTGTGCGTATTGCACAGTATTGTGTTGTATTGTGCGATAGCTGCCATACGCGCGCGCGCGCACACAAATGATTGGACGACACTCTCAATGTGTGACATGTGTGTTTTGTATTTGCTTGCCTCCGTTTGGCGGAGGAGGCGGAAAGCAGTGGTGACGGCGGTTTCTGTGGTGGTAGTGGTGGGCTATAGTAATGGGGGCCGGAGTTCTGTAGACGCAAGCAGAGATGCGATGCGGGGCCCCGTGCGGGAAGTCCGTACAAGCCAGCGAAGCAATGAGGGCTAAGGAAAATGGTACAAAACGAAAGTGCAAAAACGGAGTGCGCCGGCTCGACGGACCCGCACAAGGCGTTCTGCGGACCAAAATGATGCGCTTAGCATTAGTTAAGATAAGGACCCGCTAATCGCACGTTACGCTGACGCTGCGGGTCTTCGAGGACCCAAACTGGCATCCACCCGAGCCAAAGACGTACGCGCGATGCTCATGTTGTAAAGACTGATGACGACGACGAGCGTCCTCGCAACAGGGCCGAAGCGCTTGCCGACAAAGTCGGGCAACGTACAGACATCGGGGTGCATTGACTGGATTTTTGCGCCGAAGAGGGCTATAATGAGCACCGGGATGCCTGATGCAAAGGCGTACATGACGCAACCCACGATGCCTGTCGAGACAGCGAAGGAGGGCGGCGCTGTAATGCACCAAGCTCCGACGGCCGATGCGAAGAAAGACCAAGCAATGCGCCATTTATTTTGTGTGCCTCGTGCGGTGATAAACTCCTCAGCTGTTTGATCGCGGTGCTTAGTAAACAACCTGAACGTATAGCGCACGATGGCATAGAGGGCGAAGCACACCTGCGCCCGGCAAGCACACGCTGAGCGCTTGAATTCCTCAAGAGAGGAGACAACAGCGTCTTACAGCACACTCGCCTGTGCAAAGATGCAAGTCACATATGAGATAATGACATACTTCTTGTGTTCGTCCATGACGTTAACGGTCGTCCCTTAGGCCTTAAGTCACCAGCGTGCTTACGGCGCTTGAACAAAAACGTTTGTATAATTAAAGCTAACTAGAGTTTTCGCGTCACTAGGCAAAGGGCGGCGCCGACAAGACACACCGCAGGTCGCGCGCTGCAAGGATCTGCCGTTTGCTGGTCAGGAAAACGTCTTCATTGAAGTGAGATACTACCTGAAACAGAATAGAATGAGCTTGAGAGTGCGAGGATACGCTAATGTACGATCGATTAACCCGAGAAGGCATTCATGAACTGCACATGAATCGCGAGCCATGCCCGCAATCGCTTATCTCTAGCTGGTGCTAATCGTACAGCTGAGCTCCTCTTCTTTTGCACGCCGAGCTGCTTGCAAGGTATCCTCGTTGGTCGTCGTCGTCGTTGCCGTCGCCAGCTGTCGCTGACACCGGCCCCGTTGCGCTGAGTTGGTGCACTTCCCCATTTGGCCCATGCGTGGCCCATCACAACTATTCTGGATGTGTTTGAAGATACAAGATACTAGTACGATTGGAACGTTCCTTCGCAACTGTGTCCAGAAATATGTAGGTGTGTAAATGCCCTCGCGTGGCGGATGCTCCCGGAAACCATCAGAAGCTTGCGCAGCGCATGCTGAACAAGCATGGCTGGGCATGTGCTTTTCCACGATAGTCTGTGGGCCTCTGGGTGGTTCGTGTGCCGGTATGGGGCTCAAAGAGGTCCGTAACGCTAGGGTAAGAGCGAACAGGGCATCTCGGAGTTCTGAACACAATCTGTCAAGGATACAACGACGAAGCCTGTGTTCCTCGAAAGTGCTGCATGCGTGGTGTGCTGCATGCGTGGTGTGCTGCATGCGTGCTGCATGCGGCACCAGAACTCTGGTTAACTTCACATGCGCAGCCGATTGTAAGAAGTGAGTCGGGCCGTACGACCCATATCTCAAGTGATGCGGTGGCGAGGATTACGCGTGCTTTCAGCGCATTGAGGGTTTTCTGGTTCGGACACGTACCAGATAGATTGGCGTTGACAAGCTCCGATTGGGGTTGACGACCTCTACTGAAAGAAAGCCTGCTTCACGGTGGTCCAAATTGCTGAACAAAGGCTTGCAACAATGTACGAAAAACAGCATGCCAACCGACAATATCTTGCAACGGACAGGTTAACACATTATTTGATTTCTTACATTCGGTAGTTATTATTTCCCGACCAAAACGTTATTGACCTTAGGATGACTGTATGATAACTACGATAACCTGGAGTGCGGGCAGATGTCTGCTGTGAACCATGGGCAAACGAGGTGAAAGCACAGATGCAGAACAGCACGTAGGGGCTAATAGTAATGGCGAAGACCTCTTAAATTTACCGCGCTTCGCTCCTTTTTTGTCTGACAATTTCAATGTCGCTGAGTTTACATCCAAGGTTCTCGGGGGCTCACATACAACAGCTTCAGCGCAGTCGGAACAGCTGCGTGATGGCGTGCACCAGCTGGAATTCACGTTATCGGACGAGGTTGTCGCGCGCAACAAGGAGCTTCTTAACCACGTCCGGCGCATGCTGGACGCGGAGAACTCTGTCCGCGATTTGGTCTTGTCAGTAGAATCCCTTCAAAGCGCGGTTCGGCGCATCCGCGCTGAAGTAGTCGGGCCCTACGAGCAGATCAAGCACAAAACGCAGCAGCTCCGCAACATTCATGCGACGGTCGACATCCTGCGCCATGTTATCCACCGCCTAAAGCTGGCGCAGAAGCTTCGCGCACAGCTCGCGGTGCCGGCAGCGCAGGTGGACTTGGCGAAAGCGGCCAAACTCATCACAGACATCCGAGCTGTGGACGCAGAGGTGGATTTGTCGGGGATTGATGCGGTCGCTGCAGACGCGGAGTTCCTTGAGTCTGCACGCAAGTCGGTGCAGGAGCAGGCAGAGGTGGGCAAGCTGCTGGGAATCCTGCAGAGATCTCCATTTCCCCCGCCGGAGTCGCCGGAGGCTAGAGGAAGCGCGGCTGGGCCATGTTGTTTAATCTATCCACATCTGCTTAGATCCGGGAGGTAGCTTTGTCAAACGACGAACGACGTAGGACCGAGGGGGTTTCAGCGCTACGTGAAGGAACACACCCTCGCCTGTGCGGGATGCTAGCCCTAGCTACGCACGGGGACCAGGCCCTGTGTACCTAACCCTGAAGTCCAGGGACCCGGCTAGACGTTTGAATCTTAATCTCCCAAGCCCGCTGGCAGCCACTGCCAGCTGTAGTAGTTGGGAAGTATTGCGACGCTGGGCCTATTGGCAGACCGCACACTCTTTTCCTCGCCAGCCCCTGCCTGCCAGCTGCTAAGCGCGTTAAATCCCGTGCCTTTGGACGTCGGGAGTCTTTGGGAGTTACACGTGATTCCGCAACCCCCCGTTCAGGCTGCCCTGACCGAGGGAGTCGAGTCCCTGAGCCAGGCCCGGGTGGGGTCCGCGCTGCAAGTCATATTTAACCTCAACGAGCTCCATCAGGTGGGTGTGAGAGCTGTGTTTTACGGGCCATGTACTACCGATGGGCAATGGGTTGGCGGATGAGAGCCCAACACAGGGCAAGGAAGGCGAACAGGGTCTCTGGGAACCACTGCCGTGGAGTTTACGTACAAGGCTGCCGTAAGTTTGCGCTTAACTATGATGTGAATGCATGTGGTTGCATAATACAGGCCGTGTCGGCGCTGCTGTCTCGGCACCTGCATGACATCGAAAGGGCGTTACGGAACGCGCTGGACTCGCGCCACCTGGCAGCACAAGCGGCGGGTGGAGGTGGCGGCGGACTGGCGGTTGCCACCGGCAGCTCTCTGGGCGTAGCGGCCGGCGGTGCGGGGACAGCGGGACGCGGGCAGGCGGCCCCGGGGGCACAGGACAGGATGTGGCAGGTAGGTCGTTGGGTCTCGGGGATAGGGGTGTTACATGCACACCTGATGCCAAACGCAGTATCTCTGGCACTTCTCTTGGTGCTCTTGGTCGCCCCTCCTATCCCACACAGTTTCCTCGTGCCCTGCCTCCTTACTCATAAGTCCCCGTAACCCAGCCCTCCTCTCGCAATAACCCTCCCCTTCGTACATGGTTGACATCCTAGGTCCATAGGATTCTTGTACAGCATTTATCTGAAACCGCCCTCCAATCCCTGCTCTTTCGTCCTATCTGTCCTCTTGCGTCAAGTCCCGTCCTCCTTTTCGCGAACCCCCAACCCCGCGCCCTCCTCCACAACCTTCACCCGTTGCCTCCTGATTGGTTCTTACGCCTCATGTCCATCCTCTTCTCGCTTCCTCTCCCCGCTGTCCTCCTCTGCTCTCCAGGCCATTCGTGACGTGCTGGAGCTGATCAGCAGTTCCACGGTGGCGGTATGGCACCTGCAGAGGGTGGTGGCCAAGAAGAAGGACCCACTCACGCACGTGTGTTTCCTGGATGTGCTGGTGGGGCCGGGGGAGGCCCTGCTGGTGACCAGATTCTGGTGAGAGACCCCTGCGGATGTGGCCTTTGTAAGAACTAATACAAATAAGCCGAGAGAGCTACGTGAGGAAAAACGAGGGGAGGATGGAGAATGGCGACTGCATGTATGGCTGTTGGAAGGAAACGGTTGCTTACCTTGAACTCCAACAGCTCCCGCCGTACATTAGCCCATTACATCGGCCCTCACTTGCCGCCTCAGGTCGGATGTGGTTCGCGCCACCACGGACGCCTTCGCCTCCGTGGCCAAGCCCGGGAAAGGGGGCTTCGTCCGGGATACCCTGACTGCTTCCTACCCCCGACTGGCGGGTCTATTGGAGGCCATGTTTGAGCGCCTCACTGCGGAGACCACCATCAAGGTGGGGGGAAAGGTGTTTTGCGGATGTGGATGCTGGGTCAGGAGGGACGGATAGGTAGGTGGCTGGTAGCGGTTGGTAGCGGTTGGCAGGCTGGGTGGATGTAGGTGGGTCAGGTTAGGGCAGGGCTGGAGCTTGCCGTGCACCGTAGTGGTGTCCCTGCTTAAGGGCTTGAGCCAGGGTTGTCTTTCTCTGGAGCGGCCAAGAGAGGTCTAACTGCTCACTGCTCGGTAATCGTTTCTGACTGTCTGCAGCTGGGCAAGTCTACTTAAAGCCCACTTGTAGTCAGTGACGAAACGACGTTCCATAAAGAAGTGATCTGTGTTGATCTAGGGCGTTGCTGTATTACCGCTAGCTGCTACTGGTATTGCTCCTGCTGTGCAGGGTGTGCTGCCTGCAGTGGGCCCAGCCCATCTGCAGCAGTTGTTGGCGGCGACGGGTCCCTTCCAGACGACGTTCATGGCGGGCTGTCTGTCCAGGCTGACGGACGCGGTGGCGGCGGCCTTCCCCGGCAGCAGCCGCCAACTGCCCTCCGCGACGGAGGTGCAGAAGTGTATCGGGTGAGAGATGGAAAAAGCGGTTGGGGCAGAGGGGCCCGGGGACCGGCTCGGGTGGGGAGCTGTGTCCCTCCATTCTGTTCTCCCCAAAGTTCGCTGCTTCCAGACTGTGTACCTTTCCCAACGTGCAGCTCCTTGTCGTCCATGTCGCATGCTTTTGGCGTTTTCCAGTTCATCCAATCACTCACCCATCCATACACGCCGGACGGCGGCAGTTGATTCTTTTCTATTTGAGCTGAATTCCCGTTCACCCATGGGTCCTCCGTTTTCAGGCTGATTCACGAGGAGCTCAAAGTGGGCTCTTCCAGCCCCCAGCTAGCAGCCATGATGGCTGCTACAGCGGCCAAGGCCCTCAACCTACTTGCGGAACGGGCCGAGTACTCGGCGGCCTCGGGGCCGGAGCTGCGTCAGCTGACGGCAGGTGACGGCGGCAGCACCGGCCCCAACGCCGCGCAGCTGCGCAACATTGCGCTATGCTCGCAGCTGCAAGAGACGCACCGATCGCTGTCGGCGCTGCTGACGCGGCTGCCGCCGACAGCAGCACCGGCGCTCGGCGGCGCGTTGGCTGCCGTGCAGGCGACTGCGGTGGACGCCGTTGCGCCCATCTTCCGCACGGTGGTCGAGGCATGCGAGGAGCGGCTGCTGCGGATGCATGAATGGCCGGGTTACCGCGCCGGCGTCGCAGGCGACGGCGACGCGGCTGCTGACGCCGCCGGGCCGGAAGTAACGTCGACGTCGCCCCATGTGGCGGAGGTGGCGGCGCTGCTGGCGGACTTTCGTAGCGAGTTCCTGTCGCGCTTTCTGCCGCCGCCTACGCCCAGCGTGCCGTCATGCGTGGGATCGCTGGTGGAGCGAATGGCGTGCCGCCTGTTGGTGTTCTTCGTGCGCCACGCCTCATTATTGCGGCCCCTCACGCAGGCGGGGAAGCTCCTGGTGAGTGCCCCTCCATGCTTGGACTGCGATCTACAGTGCGAATGAAGGTATCGTGAGCATGGAGTTGAGGACGCAGCCACTTACGCATGGCATCCGCCTTCTTATCCCTTGTTTGTTTAGCCCCATGAACACCTTCGTGCGAACGTATGCACGCGCCCAATTCACCCACGTGGCCAGGTGGCCAAGGACTTGGCCGAGCTGCAGGCCGCTGTGGGGCAGCAGCTGCACCCCCTGGAGCAGCTGGGAGGGCCCTTCCGGGCTGTCAAAGCCTTTCGTGCGCTGCTCTTTGCTGCGGCGGCTGACATTGGGTCCAACCCGCTGCTGGGGGAGTTGCCGCCCGCCATCACGCTGCAGCACCTGTTTTCAAGGTGGGGCGCGGTGCAGATGCTAGTACGGGTACGGGTACGGGCAGAGTAATTGAGGCGTCCACATTGTGTGTAAAATGGAAAGCCCATCCTCTTCTTGTAAGACCGCCAGCTGATTTGGACATCTGGGCGTCCAGCAGTTGTTTTGATCGTGTCCATATAAACCACCTCCAACCAACGCACACACGCGTTCGATATCCGCAGGTTGCCTGCTTCCATCAAGGCGCCGCATGAGCGCTCCGGTCTCACACCTCTGCAGTACTCCCTCTGGCTGGACAGCCACAGCGCCGAGGAATGCCTCCGGGGTATCGCGGCAGCACTGGCGGCGGCGCCGGGCGGCGGCTCAGAGGCAGGCGGCAGCGGCGAGGGGATGGAGGCGCTGACGGTGATGCGTCGGATGTGCGCGGCTGCGGGGGCGTTGGTAGGGGCTTGACAGACGGGGGAAGGAAATGTGTCAAAAAGGAGCAAATTTCGCTGGGTTGTATGTGGAATATTGGGCTTGATTCGGCCGTACCCGCAACATATTTCATCCAGGCTTTGTTGGTTCACCTTCCCTAAAGGCAGAGTTGCGGTCAATGGACGAACGGGGCGTTTTGCGAGATCTGTAATTGCGCGTGTATGCATTTGTCCTGTGCATGCGTAGGAAAGCTCGTTCGGGGCCTGGTTGGGCCTGGGAACGGCACGACATGACGCGGTTACGTGAATTGCGTTACTGCACATGCCAAATATATATCATTGGACTGCGCGGTTATCACGTCATCCCTCTCGCTCAATAGGTCACGGCGTGGGGTGTGCTTTACTGCCACACGGACTAGGTGGATTGCTGGCGTCTGCGGTGACAGAACGGCAGGAAGCGTTGGGCAGGGCCCAAGCCCATAACTGAGTCTGTCGGTCACCACCAAAGCTGGTACGAAGGCGAGCCCTGCTGTAGGATGTTGAAGGATAGATAAGGAGGGGCCGTAGGGCGAGACAAAGCGGCGCAGCCCCACATCCCCTTCGAGGCCTCCAGCCCCTCGCTGGGTAATCTATTGCGGACCGCTGTGGAGCTCGAGGCTTTCGCCGTGGTAGGGGTCATGGGCAGTAGTCGTATGACGCATGTTACATCTCGTGCAGGATGCACGTCGAGCCTTTTTGCTTCTTGTCTTTCGTGACGCTTTTACCTGTAGGCAATTTGGCTTTGCCTATCGTCCGGGCGTATAAGGCCCATGAACTGGGTTCAGATGTGCATGGCCACAAACCTTCATCACCCACTATGCATGGCTGCAGCAAGTTAGGCGGCCTTTTCAACATTTCCATATGATTATGACAAAATTTCAATTCCACACAGAAGCGAAGAGTAAAATGAACATACGGACTACACTGAGCCTCACACGGTCTCTCACATTACACACACCTCCTCATTACACACATCCCCTGCACCTAGGAGGCTGTCCGCATTGCGTCCCCAGCTCCTGTTACTAAGGTCAGCATTTTGGCACAATCGTTAACTTCTCTTCACCTTTTTAACACTCTTGAACTCCCGTGCTTGAGACAACAACACACATCGTAACCCTTTGCTTCTCTACCGGTTCCGTGATGACTCTTCGTCATCCAGCTGTCCAGGCCGGACGGGCTTACGCGCAGCGTCGCAGCAGAAATGTGCTGTATAAAACAGATTCACACACGTACACCAGAATGCACTGAACTATTCGTAGTTTATAACGTACGTTAAAAGTGCTGCTACTGTGCTAAAATCAAAGTAAGAGGAAGATAGTGACTGACAACAAAAGAAGGGGACGCCATAAACCGCAAGCCTGCAACACATGGAAGAACCGTTGGCTCATATGACTCCAGTGCGACGCGAATCGGGTCTCCCCATCACACTGCGCAGCATCTGCAAGCGAGCATAATATCTACATAAGCCATCGCCACCCTTGACCCCCTGAACATGGGAAGGGATGACACCCAGCAACCAACAAAAGCCCACAAAACTCCCATAAGAAAGGTTCTCGTAGGAGCTGAATGCCCTCATCCGTCCAGGTTAGTAGAACAAATCACCTATCGCACCTGATGACTTTGGGGACCTAACGCAGCGTCCGGAAAATAACCTGTGGAGCTTGGAATATTGAAAGATAAGGATCCCGTTGCGGGTTGGCGGCGCCCGCGACCAGGGTGCAAACCCGCAACCCACCCAGTGCCCGGGCGAGGTTACGGGTTGCGCCAAACGGACATCTGCTCGCCAGGCCACAGACCAACCCCTTGTTCCGCTTTGCAAACCGCGTCTCTTACGTTCGATTATGACTTGATGCATGCATATTCTTAGCTTCAAAGGCGTTCGACCTTTCTGATGGATAACATCTTCCTCCCTTGCCCCTTTCTCCAAAGGTTAAGCCTGGCCTGGCTCCTCCCATTCCCACATCGGTTGTTGAAGCCTAGGTGCACCAGCCAAACCAATGTGCGAACAGACAACTACCCCGCCTTCAGCGCACAGGCCCCTCAGCCAGTTTACCTCACCTTTCCCTACCAGTACAGCCCGTGATCCCCCCTTCGTTAGTAGGCTGCGGCAAGTAGCGAACGTGTCTTCGCCCGCCTCGCGGCCAAACCTGGGGATGGCGCTGACAGCACCCTCCTTCGAACCAGTCAGCGTCATTGTCGAGGCACAGGATCCTGGAGCAGTGCGCCTTGCACAGAATCTTCCGTTTCGGGTGCACTCCACCCGGTCGCCAGTACCTCAGCCGGATGAACCGGCCCCTTCCGATGAACCCCGTGGAAAGCCACAACATACCAGACGCCGTTATGCCTGTGCGCGTCTGCGCCACGCTGTGCCTTGCACATCACACCACGCCGGCGGGCTCCACATCCTCCCTGTGCCGCTCTCACGCGACCAGGTTGCGCTTTGACCTGTAGACCGCGATTTGCGCGGAGCAGCTTTGAAGCTGTCCGTACAAATCCGTCTCGATCATCTCGAAGAACTTGATGATGCGGCTCTCGATGGAGACCGTGGAGTTGATGACCTGCACACGCGCATCCGCGTCAATCGTGAGCGAACCGCTGCAGTCCTCCACAAGTCCCGATAGGCGCTCCACCTGCACGGTAAGGGCAGGCAATCCACGAAGGGACATTCTCACGTGTCAATTCGAGGTGCTCTGGCGTCCGCATGCACCTTGCCCTATTTCCAAAACGGGTAACGCGGCTATGCACCTTGTACTTCTTCATCCCTCCGTTCATCCGTCACCTTTCTTAAGGCGTGGCAACCTGCATCCCCTTAATATGCCTCTGTCACAGAAGCTAATGCCATGCCCCGTGTGAGCGGTTGAGCAACCGCCGTATGGGTGGTCAGACCGGCGGGCGCACAGCCTCGTGCTCACCTCGCTTTCCAGGCGCTGCTGATAGTCCTCAAACAGGGTTTGGTTCCTCTGGTTCTCCTGTTCCGAAAAGTTGTCCTTGTACATCTCACCTGTGGATCAGGCAACAGCAGCCTTCAAACTTGCGCACTGTGGGGTCTCTACAGGCTGAGCATGGCTGGGACTTTACCCGGTGGGCTTGCGTACAGTTCTAAAACAAGACAGGACAAGGGCTCTTTGTTTCATGCTTTCTCATACATTTGTCAAATGACAGCCTAACTGCAGGAGACTCGCCATGTACGGGACCACCAAGGTGAGCAGCCCAGCAAGCACGCACGCAAGATAACAGCTCTCGCGCATCAAACGCAAAACACAACGAAATGTTCGCTCCCGACATATGGCGCGCATCGCCCCACCGCAGTAATCTAACGAGGCTGGGACTGTAATAACTGACCTCCGAAAAAGAAGTAGGCGAATGCATAACTGTTGGACAGTACCCCGCGCGCGACCTTAAGCTGGTCCATGGCGCGCACCAGCCAGGTGTAGTCCCGCGCTTCGATCCCCGTCTCCACCATTTCACCGATCCGCTTAAGCAGGTCGGTGCTGCGAATGCGCCATTGGTGCGAGTTCATTCATCAGTAGAAGCCACGACGCATGTAGCTAGGTCGTACCGTGTCGGGGACCGCCTTAGCCTTAGCCACACAGCACAAGAGAGCCATGGAAGTGGAGCTCTATAGGGTTATCCTTGGGTCAAGGGCGACAACATGCCCTTCCCTGAGCATGATCAGGACTCCTACTCCCTGTCTCTTGAGCCTGTTGCCATCCCTTTTGCTCACCGCTTCGCACCCTCCTTATTATACGAGTCCATGTGCAGCTTATAGCGCTCAAAGTAGTGCATATAGCGCTGGTGGTTGCGGGCCGCCGCGTCAATCTTGCGGTCCATCTCATCCTTCCAGCGGCCGCAGCTGTGCCCCTCGATCTTCTGCCACGTGTGCGCGGTGCCCGTGGCCGCGCCGCATAGCCAGCAGAATGCCTTGGGTAACAAGGAAACGCAGCGCGGAACCGGTGCTCAAGAGACACGAGAGACAGTTGGCGAAAAGCCCAGTAGAGGAAAAGTCGTGGAAGAAGACAGAGGAAAGGTGAAGTGGAAGAGAGGTCAAGAGGAAAAGTGAAGTGAAAGAAAGGTGAAGAGGAGAGTGTCAAGTCCCCCCATGTTACCTCAATTAACCACATAAAAGATACAGCCACAGCAAGACATAGGAAGCTTCATTTGCAATCCCAAAGCTGCCCGATGTTATTAAACATGCGTCCCGAACCAATGAGACCCCGGCGAAGCTGTGAATCCACACTTGCGAGGACTCAGACGCTGAGAATTTGGGATTCATCTCACGCAGCCGCCACAGAGTGGGGCCCGCGCGGCTACCCCAATTACACACCTGACCGCATTTGCACATGACCAGGTTACAGCCACCATTCTTCTCTACGGGCTTCTGGCACTTGGGACAGGGCTTGGTGTTAGCCATGAACCAGTTACGCGTCTCGCTGTCCCCATGAATCTTCTCGTCCCATTCGTCCCACCTGCGGCACCCGGGATACAAGAAACGTAGTCTCGAATCTCAGCAGCCCGCACTCCCAGCGCTTTTACGACCCCTAGCTTAGGCCATTACATTACATTATTTCGTCGTGCTTCGCGATGCCTTGGGTGATGCTTTGGTTTAATAACCTTTCAGTGAATCCAACTAGGTAAGGGCCTTATTCTGGCCATTAGGTCATTGCGTCTTATTGGCAGGGGTACTCTACTCACAATGTGAGACACGAGTCACTTTCTACAGTCCTAATCACGCACATCAACTACCCGGCTATCAGCTACCGACGCCGAAAAGGGGGTGGTAATTACATGCAAATGGGGGGAGAAGAAGACGGAAGCAATGCGGTTTTCCCCTCCTCCGCATTAACTAACTCCAGTGACTCCGGTCCTTGAGCTCCAAACGACCCACGATCATGAGACCATATAATTCTGTACGGCTGGTCAGCTGCAGGCCACGCAAACCCTTCCCACATTTTGCAGGTGCACGGCGTGTGCGGTTCCTTCAGGCACTTGAAGCAGAAGACCTTGCCGCACGCGCACTCAGGCTCCACGAAGGGATCGCCGTCTACCTGTGGGTGAGTGCGCGGCCCAATGCCGTCCAACGCATGGAAACTTGAAGGTGGCGTGTGACATCATCATCGGCGGACGTAACAGGTTCCCCCCTTTGCGGTGGACCCTGACAGGTCCGCATGAGCCGCACGGTTGCTGCTGCTCTGCTGGCGACCACAGAGACAATCTTAAGCCACAGGAGCCGTATTAGCAGCTGCGTGCGCAAGATGTCTCGCTGCCAAAAGGCCAAAGGAAGGGACTGGTCTAACCCGTTCAGGCGGTGCAACGGCTCTTCATGCATCAGCGAACCGGTCTGAATAATGCATCGGCAGCAATCCAGCCGAGTTCCCGCTATCTTTCCATCACAGGGCGATAGGAAAGTGAGTGAGATGTCACTCGGTCTGCCCCGTGTCAACCATTGGGTGGCTCTGTCTCTGCGGGTGCTTCCGAAACTCACGACGACAAACGCTCTGAAACCCCTGGGGTTTCTAGCGGGGTTTCAACACGAATGCTGCAATGGGCAGGCAGCTGTGCCGCTGCATCCCACGTTGGTAGGGCCCACGTGCAGAACGGACCGGGACGCAGCAACGCAGCAGCCAGCGACGCTCTGACGACCCAGATGACATGATGTATATAGTATTTGGGAACGTTTGGGAACGAACCACGAGTCAATTCGTACGTCCTTTATCCCCTGGAATGCTTTCGCAATCAGCACCCGTACAGTTGCGCCCCACTTACCTGGATGGCATGGCCGCACCAAGGCACTCTTGGGCAAAACTGAACTCGCGCATTGTCCTCCACATATGACAGCGCAAGACTCCGTGTATACTTCTCCAGTGCCCCAGCCGCCTCCTTGACACCCCCGTCGGAACTCACATTGGTCCCGTCACCGCCTCCAGAGCTGCTCCCCCCACAAACCCCACCTGCACCTCCGGCGCTGCTGCTTCTTGTCCCGCAATCGCTCTTTAGCAGCGCACAAACCTTCTCCTCGTCACACACCACCCCGCATCTGTGCGACATACATCTGTAACGGTAACATGCAACACGAGGGGAGAAAAACGGGAACGAGAAAAGTTACAGCCCTGCTACGCTGCTTCGCTCGCGCATCGCGGGCCTTAGCCGCGTCCGCTAATGCACAATTGGAACAATCATTGCCGAGTAGGTAGGCCGCTGACGGCCCTACATCACACAGTCCGAGAGAAAAATAGTATGGACTGACCAGAAGGAAGTCAACCCCTGGCCTCCGTCCATTACCTGCCATGCCTAGATTAGATCAACATGATTGGACGGCCAAGACCATGCCGCAGGCGGCCATGAAGACGCGGCATTCGCTTTTGATTGCTAGACTGAAATCGTCCCCGGCAGCCATAGGGAAGGAGCAATCACGTGGCATCCTGGGCGACGCAGGCACTGTCGACAAATGGATGCGCCCTCTTGGAAGCCGACTCAGTTGCAGCAATGGCAATATGGGTCAGCACCAATTCCTGCCGGCACTGCCCCAGGAGGGTGCACAGTCCAGCTAGGGAGGTAGACAGGCGATATAAGATTTCGCCTGCTGGACGTGTCTGGGCCTGCCTGGGCATCTCCTCGAAAACCCAGATCGCTCCTTCGCCCTGAAAGCCCTCCAGCCCAGGGCATGGCTTCGCCTTCCTCCCCAAGTCGCCCTACAACCGTACGCCATCGGTTCACATACCGTATCGTCCTTGCTTGCCCCTCGCCGATTTGAACCTTGAAGTGCTGCCGCCAGCAGTCGTTGCAAAAAGTGTGACCGCAGTCCATGGTTGTTGCTTCTGACGAATCAACTTCTGAATAACAAACTTGGCAGGTGATGATGGAAGTTCCTGATCCCGCGCCTCCTAAAGGCACCTCGACGCAAACACGACAGGGACGGTTGGGACAGTAGACAGGCAGGATGAGCTGGCGGAAGACAGGCTCATCACTTATCTATTGAAACCCGAATAATGTTTGCGTCACAGGGGCCCCGGCGCACCTGTGCTTAGGCCCGTCACGGCCACTCCCGCCTGCTTCAGCACCGTCTCCGGGTCCTGCTCAGCGACTCTAGCTGCACGTTTCCAAATACTCTGCAGTAAGCGCTATGCACATATTTCCGATGCGCTAAAAGGAGGCACAATAAACTTACTCAGAAGCATTTCTTTATCCCATCTAAAATACATAAGGACCGTTTTTGCGACAGAGGGCTTGACTCCCAAAATCGAAACCACCTCGTGCACAGCCTCTGCCTGCGAAAGTTCAAGGCGTCGGGAGTTGTCTTCCCCAAACTAACGGCTCAGTGATAACAACCCTTTCATATAGACACCTACCTGTAACCTGACGATCGCATCTGCAGGGTATTTAAACCGCAATAAATAATTGAGTTCAATATCATCCGGAAACAACCGGAACTCTTATGGACTTCTTACCCTGGTTTAGGACGCTCCAGCCGGGCCCGCCCGAGGTTGAAGGTCCAGCTTCGTCCGTATGATTATCAAGATGCATTCCACTATCGCTGTCCTCCTCGTAACCATAACTGGCATCGCTCGCATCGTACTCGCTTGCCTCCTCTTCTTCGCTTTGGTCCGCGTCCCGCATAGGCAAGCTCTTATTGCTGCTCATGAGGGATTGCGTGTGTGGCCAAGCCGAACCACGCGGAAAAGAAGTTTGCGCTTTCGGGGCGCAGTATCTAAAGCATATGCATAGCCCAGGCTAATATCGCTAACTAAAATGCAGAAAACAGTTTTGATCTGACAGCTAGGCAAATTCACATGCCTCACAAGCCAGTCTTCAGCCGTTGTTTGCCGTACAGTACGGTGCCGTGCAGTCAGGACGTCCTCCCATTTGCCAATCTAATGGCGGGGAGTGGGCTTCCGTTCCCCTCTTGCATTTTCCTATGCTGCCCATGTCCTTCAATATACTTCCCTGGACCCATGCGTTCCAGGAGGCTATCAACTGACGCCACTCTTGACACGACCCGGGTGAAATCCGGGGTCCTTCCGTCTGACAAACTATGGGTCCTTTTACAATCAGCCGTCCCCAACCGTTATCCCTTCTGTAGTTCCCGTTTAAGGTACTGGACTAGTACTGTCCTGTCTTAAAACCTGCGTCCTATCTGTGGCACAACACCAAGTAACCGCAACAACCGCTGCCTGGACAACGTGCGCGCCCGAAAGCTGTCGACTGTGCAAGACGTACACAGACAGACACGTGACCCAATCTCGTCACCTAGGACAGCTTCCAAGTTTTTATTGTACGGCATGTCTCGAAGCTTGCATTTCCGGGAAAACCCAATCATTTAGTAACTGAATATGAAGTACTGAATTGTGTTAGCGTCTGAATTTATAATCCTCAGCTCTGCACAGGCCGTGCGGCTATGCAGGGCCCTTTCCTGGTCCTTTCTGGCTGCTAAGCCAAAGGGCCAATGGGAAGCCTGCCTGTGCTGATCCAGCTGGAGCCGGAACAAGCTCGCACTGTGTGGGCTGGTTGGCTGACAACCATCGGGAATGCCTGGATGGCCTTCAGGGACGGCGTCGGGAAATGGGACAGCCGCGATTCACTGCTTTTGCCGCCGCGTTCGTCATGTCACATCCGATCTTGTGATGTGACGTGACGTGGCACCGGGGCGGCATTCGACATTCGACCAGATCCCAATTTATCGCCACCGGCTGTTTGCAAAAGCAACAGCTAATTGACTAAATTTTGAACAAGGAAATATGAAACGCGGGGACATTTCGAACACGGATGGGCTCGTAGGAACCCAAATCGACGGCCGGTCGACTGTTTTCCCTGCGTTTGCCTTGATAGAGGGGAAAGGGCCGTTAGGATGCGGGCATGAGGCTGTGGCGACGAGGGGTCGGCACGCACGTGATGAAGGGGGTTGAAAGCGTTGCGTTATATGAACATCGATGCGTGTGGTACACGAACATACCCCTTGGGAAGGCCTTGGGAAGGCCAAGCCCCCACCACTGCACATGCTGCGCAGCAGTTGCGTCACAATATGGTCGGCAGCTTCTCTTTCGCTTTCGCGTGTGCGCCGAGACCGCGCGTACTGAAAATGCTTGTGTGAACAGGCTGTAGAGAGCCAGCCAAGGGAGCTTAGCGCGGAAAAAGATAGCCTGCGGGCGCAGTACAGCGTAGTCTTGCCGTGGAAGACGTACTGCAGCCAGGGTTGATTGGTACGACACTCGGTTTTTGAGCCGTACACTGCATCTCCTCGAATAAGGTACCGGTGCTGCCAGGAAAAAAACTGATTTATGCAGGCAAAATGAGTTGCTTTCACTGTCTCTCCTGTGCGGCCAGAAATCCTGCTCAATACGCAGGAAACCTCTTATTGGCTTTGGCGAAGGCAAATACGCGTCCTCTGCTCTCCCCGCAAAGTAATTTAGTAACTTAGCCCTGTGTTGAGTTTGAGCGGCCCAGTGATGTGCGCGAGGCCCTCAAAGGGGGCCTCAACGTGCAGTGCCGAATTCCTCGGGGGAGATGAGGACAGCTAAAGCGTTTCGTTTCTGGTTGCTATCATCTAACACTTCCTTTTGACCGCCCCACCCAGCCGATCACAGCGCCCGCCTTGAGGGCATGGGCGCCCAACCCAGCCGATCACACTACCCTCTATCTTCATTTGTATGTCCTGACCAGGCTCCTCCCCTGATAAGGCCCCTCAACAGCCCCTCAACCCTCTGATAGAACTTAGTCAGCAGCCGCTGCCTGCTCAACACATGGCACCCAGCAGTGCCCAGACCCGCCTGATATGAAAACCCGAGACCTACCCGGCACTCCCAGACGGCAAGTAATGCTGCTCCAGGTCATTGGGGTGACTACCCCTACCACCCGGACCACCCCCACTACCCGGACCCATGACAACTTTTCGCTGAGTACGGAACACCAGGCGGTACGGAACACCAGCTGGGGCCCCCCCTTCCCCTCCCCCTCCCCGCCAAGGAACCTGCCGCACTCAGTGCCTTTTCCCCACATCCTCCTCCGCAAACCCACCTCCTCGCCCTCCGAACCCACTCCGAAACCATCCACCTGCCTTTCGCCCTCTTTTGCCCCGACCACCAACACCAACACCAACATCAACAGCATGACCATTGCCGGGTTCAGGGACCTCCAGAGACATACTCGCTGTTGCTGCTGCTGCTGCTGAAGGTGACGATGATGCGGCTGCCTTGAAGGGAAGTGGTATTCGAAACAGCCCCAGGTTCAGCGCGAGGAGGAAGCTTCCAATGAGGACGGCGGCGAGGGAGGGCACGGCCCGGTGGCCGAAGCGGTCGACTGCTGCGGCCCCCAGTGCGGGGCTCAGCATGCGGACACCGCTGCTCAGGGACATGTCCAGGGCCAGAGCGGTACCGCGCTGCTGGGGAAGAGTGGCCTGCGGTGTGCGTGGAAAAGCGTGTGTGTGGTGTGCGGTGCGGCAGAAGGGGAACGGGCGTTAGAAGGAAGCATGGGTACTTGCGAATGACCCGTGGTTCAGTTTTGGCTCCCGTACAGGCCCCACGTCATCTTCGGTACACTTATTCAAAGTGCAGCCACGTCATCGTTGGTACGCAGACCTAGCTTTGCCTGAGCTGCAGTAAAGTACAAAAGTCAGAGATCACATCTCGCCGTCCTTTGGGTAGGCAGGCAGTTCGTTCCGCAGCACAGCTATGCGCAAGTGGGGACGCTGAACGGTTGCGATTGGTTCGTACTGGCCTGCATGTGCCCCAGGTGGCCGGCAGTCATCCTACGTAAGCAGCCGTACGCCCCGAGGATGGTAACCTGATGGGGGTTTGCCCGATTACATCCCCCGGCTGCCCCAGGGCCCCCGTAACCCCCTCCGAGTATATATGACAGCTCCCCTCCCCTCCCTTCCCCTTTCCCCCCCACACACACTTAAACACATCGTCGCCACTTCCTACTCGCTAACCAGTCTTCCTGGTTACAGGTGATTGCGGGTGCTGCAGCTGGGAAAGCCACAGGCTTTGCATGGGGAGGGTGAAGATGATGAGGGTGCCCGAAAACACAACACCCTCGGGGAAGGTTGGGGGACTACCAGGCCTACATCGCACAACCATACCATTGCGCGCACCATCACGAGCCTCAAACTGGAATTTTCCAACCTTCCCCATGCCTCACACACGCCCCACACACACTCACAACCCTACCTTTGTCAGACGCGACGTGCTGGCGTTGTTGTACAGCATGCCCGCCACGCTCAACGGCACCAGCAGCAGCAACAGCTGCCATAGGGCCCCCGCCGCTGCCAGAGCCCCGTACGTCGCCACCAGCGCCGCGACGCAGCCGTACTCGGTCACGGCTTCACCAACCGCCGATATGACGGGGCCTACCAGGAGCGCCTGACCTGCACCGGGAAGGGGAGGGGGGTAAGACGAACCACGGGCGAATGGGGAGGAGGGGGGAGCCGCACTCTGATTTCCGCCAGGGCCCGGCCGGCTGGATCGGGGCTCGTGGATCCGACACGCCGCTTGGGCCTGTTACGATGCTTCCAAAATTGTGCATAGGCCTGCATAGACGTATTTCGTCATTACGTGGCACGCTGCTACTAGTGGTGTACTTCTACCTCATACTGCTCATCACAGAGCCCTAAAGGCGGGGAGGGGGGTGCCTGGTTGTAGGGCCCCCACTGGCCACCTCCACCGGCCGCCTCATGTCCACCTGACGACCCCCCCTCCGGGGCACCCCACACACATACGTACAGACACACGCGCCCTGCCTAGCACTGCCGATCGCGCGCCCCGCACCCTAACATCGCCCACTCGCATGCATACACATATACACATATCTACACGCACCTCCAAGCAGCAACGCACCAACGTACGACATGACCATGCCGTTCGTACGTGGATCCAGTCCGTACCGGCGCTTCAGCAGTACCGGAAACATAGACTGGAATACGGCGGACCCGAGCCCCACGAGCAGCTTGCCAGCCAGCAGGTCCATGACGCCCGGCATACGAACCACCTGAAGGCGGCGGCCCCAGGAGTAGGGGAAGGAGTAGGGGGGGAAGAGTTGGGGGGGGGAAGAGTAGGGGGATGAGCAGGGGGAAAGACGAACCACGAACGAGTGAAGCTGCTGCCAAGGAAAGAGTGTACAAGAAGTAGGACTGACCGAAAGGCGTTCTTGAAGGCGGCGACCTCGGTATGCTTTCGTGATGATGATGTCGGAAAAACTACCTACCTAGCCGCCTAGACTAAGATAAACGCGAGAGAAAAGCAGTAAAGCCAAGCCCTAAAGAAGTAAAGGTAGGTGTAGAGACGGCGCAAAAGTTAAAACAATTGTGACGTGAAGCTGGAATAAAGCATTGCCGCCGGCCTGGCAGCGGCATTGATGAGGTTGGACCAAAAACGGGCTGATGAGCCGGTTATAAAAAGCTGGTGATATGCAAGTGCTCCTCCCAACCCCCCAACGCGCGACCGACCCGACCGACCCAACTATTCTCGTCCCGCTAGCCGACCGACGCAATGCGATATACCGACAAAGCTCGAACCTCCTTCGGACTCACCTGGCCAGGCAGCAGAAGTAGCGGCAGGGGCACATGCGAGGCAGAGATGTAGCAAGGTAGTGAGCAGGGTGTGATGAAAAATTAATGCATGCGAGTGCTGCTGCAGGAAGTATGAACTAGCAGGCTGAGGAAAACGGAAAAAAGGGAACTATAAGAAACTAAGTGGAAGCGGAAGAAAAAAGAGAGGCTAAAAAGAAAAGGAGGAGGGGGAGGAGGAGGAGGGGGAGGAGGAAGGGGGAAGGGAGGAGGAGGTGGAGGGAAGGAGGGGGAGAAGAGAGGACACCGTTTGCAGCCTGAGATAAGAGGCACAGGAATGGAGGTGGGACTGGCCAGAGCAAAGCCATCGCCGCGTTTCACGTGTACGGCACCACGTGGCGTTACACACCACCACACAGCTGTGCAAAGCAGTATCTCCTTCCCTCCCCACACCCGCCCAAATCCTTCCTCGGCCAACCAAGACCTGCTTTATACACACACCCCAACACAAATACCACCGAAGGAGGGAAGGGGGAAATACCCGTTATGAATTAGAAAAGACTGATTACATTAACAACCATAACCAATTATCGGTAGTGGAACCTGGAACAGGTCAAATCAAAACTGGAAGAATCTGGACATATGTACGCAGCTAGCTCACCTCCACGAATTGCATCAGCATCTGCCGCGCCCCGCCCCGCACCCTCGGGGGCCCGCCACCAGGGCCGTCCTCGTCGGCTAGGTCCCCGGCAAGGGGGGGAGAGGCCGCCTGCCCCCCTCGTGCCTTGGCGGAATAGCCACTACCACCACCTTGGTCAGCGTCGTGGCCGCAGTCACTGGTGCGATGCCGGTGGGTCCGCTGCCCCTCCTGCCCGATCTCAGTGTGGTGGTGCGGCTGCTGCTGCAGCTCATGTCGGTCTCCTTGGTGGTTGCGGTGGTTGTGATGGTTGTGGTGGTTGTCCTCACTTGCGTGCGCTGGGAGGTCTGTGTGTGCGGTATTCCGTAACGGTAGGTCCCACAACTTACATACATACAAACTTTTGCAAACAAAACAACAAACTGAAGGACGGTCCCTTCTGCTCCCGCATGCCATCCGCAGGAGAGCAAACACGGCAGCACACGTAACACAGCATGTAAACACGGCATGTGCGCAAGGAACAAGATGTCGGTGCCGGCGGTGCTATCGCAGGAAAGAGAAACGTCACGCCCCCCCTTCCCTCCGAGGACTGCTTCTTCACAACCGCCGACTGGTCAGTCCTGCTACCGTCCTGTACATCTGCCGCAGCACTCTTTCCTTGACACCAGCTCGCTCACTCGCTCGTGGTTCGCCTTTTCCCCCCCCCCCTTTCCTCCTCCCGCCCACCCCATCCCCACCCCAACCTCTGCCACCACCGCCAGGGCATCTCCATAACGGAACCAGAGCTTCCTAACCTCCTGATACCGATAAGAGCGCCCCGCAGCCCAAAGAGCTCGACAGGGTTCCAACAGCGGCAATAGGGGCACCAAGGAGCGCCATGCGCCCTACGAAAACCCTATAAAACCGCATCACGTCAAACCAGGCCCTACGGCCCCCGCTCCCACCGGCCCTACCTGGGAGCAGCAGCAGCACCAGGGCCAGGCTAAGTGCAGACCCAAGGGTCGCTACCCAGGCAGCAAACTGCAGAGACACGGCGCTCAGCAGCCCGCCCACGGCAGGGCCCACCATGAAGCCCACGCTGTAGGACACGGCCACGTAACCCAGCACACGGGCACGGTTTGCCTCGGACGACAGCTGCGTCACGATTGCTCGGGAGGCAAGTACGGCATGCTGCGGGCGCGGCGGGGCGAAGGTGGTGCGGAGCCACGGGATGGGATGCTGACGTCATTTGGTGTTTTACGGCAGTGGAGGAACAGAAAAAAACTCCAATCCCCGTACGGCTATGGACCTCAGGAGTACGACACGAGCCTCAGTACGGCTATGGACCTCAGGAGTACGACACGAGCCTCAGTACGGCTATGGACCTCAGCAGTACGACGCGAGCCTCAATGGCGCCGATTGGGTCTCGCCATGTCCTTTGCATACGTACATGGTGCCGTATTCGTGTGTGCAGTCACGTGCGCTCATGTAACCTCAGTAGAAGGAAATTACGCCTAACTGTATGTGGGGGGACCGGACCGGGTGCACTGGACACACATATGGGCTGGGCGGTACGGTCGAGGAGATCCCATGTCGCGGGGACTGTGTCCAGCCAAGTGCGCCAGGAAGAGAAACCAGTTGCGGCAACTAAAGACCCGCGAGCTAGTCTATTTGGCTTGACTTCCACCCACCCCCGCACCCACCCACCCCCGCACCCACACATTCGTCTGCCATATGAACCTGCCCATGATGCCCACGCCGACGATGGTTCCGGAGCCTTTACCTGCAGTACGGTTGGGATGCGGGAGATGTACAGCACCCACATGGATGACGCCATGGCGGTGAGGCCGTACGACGCCACGCTGGCGGCGAAAGATACGGCAAACAGGAACCGGCCGCCGTACCTGTCCATCAGTGGACCTTCCGCGGTTCCGGCGGCCGCAGTGGCGGCGGCGGGGGAACGGGTTTCCGTGCGGAGAGTGCAGGGGCGAGGTCAGGGCTGTACGAGCGGGTCGGAAACAGCATCAGGGATATAATTGCATAATTGGGTATTATTACAACCAGCGGCTTTTCACAATAATAGCAAGTATTATTCCACATAGGCGCTGGAATAGGAAGCGAGGTCAAAGGCGTTGGCTCCCCGTCCAAAGCTCCCGATCGAGGCCTCCTCATTTTCATTCGGGCTTTCTCCCCCCACACCCGGCATATACCCTCCCGCGGCGGGAGACACTCCTCCTCCCTGCCCTCACCAGATATCAAGCCACCAACGAATTGTACGGCTGAGAAAATCGTCTGCAGCGTGCCGTACTGCGCACTGCTGCCGGCAACGCCCAGTCTCTCCACGAGGTACGGAAGAACGGGCACCTGGGCCATCCAGCAAATGGAGTACAGTACTACATTGCCGTACACGATTAGCTGGTATAGCGTGCTGGACTGGAGAAGCAGCTTGCGGTCGTACTTCATCTCTTGGCGCCCTCTGCAATTGCCTCCTTGTTTTCTTCTGCTCGCGGCGGCTGTGCTCGGGCTCAGGATAACTTCCAGCGGTGGAGCTGAAGGTCCCCAAGCTGCAGTGCTCGCTCCGGCTGGGGGTAATGAAGGGAGAGCCGCTGAGGGAGAGCCGCTAGCCACCAGTGGCACTGTCACGTGTCTGGATGATCCTCGATCCCGAACCAGTTACGCATTACACATGAGTAGGATTTAAAAAAACAGAGGACCACGTGCTATGCGGTAGCTCGCTCCCGGCAAGGTCAGGGGCGGCGCGAGGGGCGGCAACTACGAGCTGGTAGCTGCGAATCACGAGGTACAAATACCCCAGATTCCTGGCCTCCTCAAGGCTTGGCCTCTGTACATATCGCCGGATGCCCTAATAAGTCCCGCTGAGGGATATTCAATATGTGCGCTAGCTTCGACCTGCGAGACTCCACAGCATGGACAGTGCACGAGCTGTTCGAGCTCCGCTGTTACCCTCACTTAAATTTCCTCGGAGACCGCGCACTCTGGCTAAGGCTCATGACTTCCTTGCCGTAGATTTACAGCTTCTTTTTATTATCTCCATTGCCATAGGTCCTCGTCTATTTTGCTTGAAGTGAGCACATGTTTAGAACTTGCCGAGATTGGTGTTTTAGGATGTGTTGTAGAAATTCTAATTTTGCATGCAAATCACTGCACAGCTCTGATGTTAGAGGTTCGTTGCAAGTGTTGGGGTGACCTGTCTGTACGGAGTTGAGACAGTTGTAGGACAGACGCGATTTTTGTCAAGGCTTGCACGGTCCTCTTGGATTGAGTCATTTACATGAATATTAGATGACACAGCTTGTTCAGGCGTCTGTCTGTAAGTAGGTGTTCCAATCATGGACCAAAACGCGCCGGCAAGAAAGCGGACAGGCCCGGGCCCCACGCCACTGAACCTCAGGCCGGTGGGTCTTGAGCTCTCACCTGACGCGACTAAGTTCTGGCAGTGTTGCGAGGTTAGGTTCATGTGTCTACTTGGGTCCTCATGGAACCTGCGTCCTCTTGCCTTGCAGCGCGTGAATTTTGGGAAGCTTGACATCGCGTCTCTTCGGAGGTACTCTCGAGTCCACAAGCTGGTAAGGATATGAGCATCTGGAAAGGCGGGCACACTGTATGGCGGAATATTGAAGCCCGACTGCATGCTTTGCGCCTGGCACAGGTCGGCGTGCCGCAAACCGCCACAAAGGACCAGTTAGTAGCAGCCGTCACACGCCACTTTGCTGCTCAGGTGGGTGTAGCGATACGTTGCTTTCCAGGCTGTTTTCGACCCCTGAAAGCCTAGCTTACAGGCGGGTACGCCTCCGAAAGACACTCAGCCCGTTTCCATGCGTTGACGTACTGTGTGCGCAATTCATGCCTGTACATTGAGCGTGCCGGCAGCTATCCTGTGCACTGACCCAGCCTCGCAAACCTCTTGCCAAAATGACAACACCCGACGCTGCTTGTGTGCGCCGCACCGTTATGCTTGTGCATTATTGATGACAGGTTGTAAATGACGAGCTTAAGGTGATTGCGGCCTTCGTGACCGCCGTGCAACGTCGACAGTCTTTAGCACAGCAGCCTGGGCGCAAATAGCTTAGGAGCGAGGTTCCTGACGGTTGCCGCCGCCAGGGCCTGCCGGCATCGGGCCGGAATAGCACACCCCTTCAGCGAGAGAAGTCAGTAATGAAGCTGCCTGGCAATGTATGAACGTTACGTAACGCGTGGATGAGGCCAGGAGTGTGCTCGCCACGGCCGTGTCAACCGTTGACACGAATAGTAGTACACAAGACATTTCACTTGGGAATGTTGGCATTAGTACGCAAGGTAAATACGTTAGGATTGCATAGTGCCGTGCTATTATGCCCCCGTTCTGTATGGTTAGCGCGGGTGTGCGCTGTTATGTACCATATCTCCCCACTCTGAAGAGGTCACGGCCAAGGTCGTTAGGGTACGGCCATGACTTCCGTTTTTTGCGAAATGCGGCTGACGTTTGAGACGACGGTGAGTAGTGGTAGGGGGAACAAGGAACCGATTTTACAACAGTTCGTCGCGTCGGTCTGTGCATGGGTAGTTCTTGACCGCTGTTATTCCCTATGACGCCGTGGCAGCTTGCGGCCTGTGGTACTCATGCGCGTATGCGTAGCCAACACAACCTTGTCGAAGTGTTAGCTCAAACCGGACTTGACCGTCCGCTTGTGGTAGGGGTACATGTGGGCGTAGGACACAATAAGAATCTCCTCGCGTGCGCAGAGAGCCTGGCCAGAAATGACGAGGGATTGATGCTTCATGATGGTATAGGACAGGTGGCCTACCGTGTAGAGTACAGAGGCCGCACGCAGACTTGCAGGTACAGATCGTGGCTTCAGATCTTGTCCCATGAATCATAGGACGACATAGTTTTAACTGGACTATGCTCCTCTGCGTCTGATGCGAATCTTTGAGCTCCAGAGCTAAGGTTGGCTTGCTACGTTCGTAGTTTGCTTTGGAGGTTGATATGTAGGGATATTTCCCATGTGGATATCAGACTTTCGGGCGAAGGATCTGTTGTCGTTTTAACGTGTTCTCGCAACAGCAGGAGGATTTGTGTTGTATGTGTGCGCTTGGTTGTGGTGTCCCTTGGTAAAGATACTTGGGACATGTGTTTTTGTGAGCACCGCGAGCCAGACAGTGACGGAAGCATATAATTATACGGTTCGGACAGAATGCTTGAAGCAAACTTCCTGTTGAGACTGGTTGAATGCGCATCCTCCGTGTCGGGCTCTGTCCACTTGCTCCTGACGTGCGGGTAGGGCAACAGTGAGATGCGCGTTATTTAATCTTCCTCTCCCATCGACAGTGCCTCCTATCGCCATGAACTCGCCCTGGTATGGCAACCCGACAAAGGACTGCAAGCCGACGCACAAGCACATAGCCACCCATCCGTACAGTTCCTTCTTGGGCTGCGGAACAGGCATCAACTCCTGTAATCCCCCTTAGTGCCACCACCTGTATGGGAAGCCCCTGATCAAAATCCAATGCCAGCATCCTCTGGCGATAGGAAAAAATAACACAAGACAACAGGGCAGAATTTGCAACAATACAGGAAAAATCCACAAGTTTTTACTGGATGCCAAATATTATCGGCCATCGTCCGCGCACAATACAGGTCGCGTGGCCTACACCCCTAGCAGGAATGCTCGAGCGCGGCGCTTCTTGGCCAACCTATGCCCCATCCAATACCCATGTAAGCTAGTGAGTAACAAACACCCGGTAATATCCCACTTGAGCACTGCGACAGGAGATGATGCCCAGGCAGGGGACAAGCAAAGGAAGGTCCCACAAAGAATGGAGCAAACATACGCTTGTGCGCGTGCATTGTGCAAACGAGAGAACGAGGGTCTTGCACCGCACCCGTGACATGTTGAGGGCCTCCCTCTCTCCTCATACGAGAAACAGTAATTCCTAAAAGGGAATCTTCGGCCTCACCTCTCCCACCACCTCGCTATGCCGTCTAAGCAAAAACGTGTTCATTGAAATACCGATATGCACAGCAGCGCTTTGAGGCTCTTCAAATGAAATGCGCACTCCCGCTACCAGCAACTCACGCGATGATAACTTGCATGATCTGCAACTGCTGAATTATTACTTCTAGGCCTAGCGCTCAGAGCGCTGTGCCATAGCAGTGTTAGCAGTGTTAGCAACAGCCGCAGCAGCAGCAGGTGTACTAGTAGCAGCAATGGACACACTGATATCAAAAATAACTGCTGATTTGCAAGACTTGCAGTAGCGCCAAACCCTGCTGCATCATGGAGACATGAATATCCACCAGGATACGGTTGCTTCCCCATAAAAGGAGTTCCCTTCTGTCACTCCCTCTCGCTTTCCAAAGACCCAGCAGCGCCCGAGACACTCGGCCCAGTGCCCACGTCACTCTCCTGCATGCTCCCAGTCATCGGTCTTGCAGCCCTCTCCTATGTCCTGTTTAGGAACTCACATGGCAAGAACCTACACCTTCCATAGCCGTAGATTTTCCGGCGAAGGTACTGCGGTCCCCAGCACGCAATACGCATGCAGGTTTTTTTTTGACATGACTATGCTTCCCTTGGAAGGTCAGGCCATTCGAGATATTCAGGAGTCCAATTTGTTGAATTCCCACGGAAATTCCGCTTTCCTTGTCTTGCAGAGGACATCGGGGCAGGCAGCACGCACGTACATTCCCCGGCGCAAAAGCACGAAACCTCCTCGTCTCATCCAACCCGCGCCCGTCACCCGCCGTTAGGCGACGCAGGCCCGGCTTACCGCAACAGAATCCATCAGGCCTAACCGAGGGACGGTTGCGCTGGCGCCGAAGGACAGCCAAGCAAGATGCAGCGTGTGCGCCTGCATCTACATCATACTCCACGTATCCACGCCAATCGCTGCCGCTGCTGCCGCGTCGCCGGCAGAGGTGCCCAGCCGCTTATGCCGCCCAACCTTTCCGCCTCAGGTGCTAACAAGCGGCGGGTCTGGCAAATCTGTCCGCTGGGCGGCGACGAGCATAAGGCCCGCTTTCTTTAGTGCCAGAGCCTGTTTCGGATCCAGCCGGCGACATGGCAAAGGGGGTTGGGGTGGAGGCTAATGGAACCCAGGGTGCGGAACAGTGATGGGCCCAACACAAGGGGATCTGCAAGGCGCTGCGGCACCGTGCGGCGTCGGTTCAACCGCTGTGAAAGTTGTTGATATGTCCGGATACGCGGAGGTTGGCGCGACGCAGTACGGGGTAACGTGCAACGGAGAGGACCCAAGCGAGCAGGCTGGGGATGGAGGACAGCGCGATGGGGAACCGCGGGGGGTCGAACCAGACCCCCAGGCGCTCTGACACAATCCTAGATCTGATGGATGCCTACACGCACAAAGGGGCTGGTACAGTGCCCAACTGGCACAAGCACCAGCTATAACGCCGTAAAAGCAGGGTGCTTCAGGCGAGGAAGAAGCGGCTGGGAGGGCTTGCAGCCGGTGTTTTCGCATGCACATATTCACCAACCCGCGCACGCAAGGACCAGGCCCACAAGCCGTTGCGAAGAAACGCTCCGTTGCCAGCACATACACCGCGGGCAACTTCAGCAGCGCACATAAGGGCACTCGGCCGATATGAGGGGGGAACTGAAGACGTCCAAGACTAGGTGTGTGTGTGTGTGTGTAGGAAATACATCATAGGCAGCGTCGCTCTGAGACACAGACGACGACTCGAGGGCTGCATCCTCCCGCCCAGGAGCGCACCTCCAGCTCTCGGAGCACGTGGCCGCTCTGCGCCATTGTTTTCGAGCCGCTCAGCCAGGTGGTGTAAAAGGTGGCCATGCAGCCCGCGTAGAACTGCTGTGCGGCTTCCACCACGGAGCTCCGGAAGTTGGCCTCGCGGTGAAGATGACCGTTGCGCAGTGCCTGACCGGGGCCGGCGGGGATACGGCCGGTTCCAGAGAAAGAGGTCATCCAGGCATCCGGAACAGATCGAAAAGAGGCAGGGAGCAAAGTGAGACCGGACCGGACCCTCTGCATTCCAGCGATTTCAGCAAAATCAGATCCCAGACGGATGCGGAGGAAGCGGCAGCGGGGGCGCAGGCGCAGGGAAGGTCGGGCCCAGACGGCAGGACATACGGCACCGGAAAAGAGGAGCTTCAGGGAGCCGCTGCATTGCCTGCCTTCTCCCGTTTGCCTCTTCTCGTGCGTCCCACCTGCAGCGTCCATTTTGTGACGTTGAGGGAAACAATCGCCAGCGGGAACTCCTGAACGGGGTGCTGCGACAACCTGAGCATCTGGGCGGAGGGAGGAGGGATCACAGCGCGATGCGGTGTGTGGGCAGCAGCGGGATGTCAGTCCCTGGAGTCCGACCCTGGGAACGCAGCAGTACGCCAAGCCATCAGAAGCGGGCGCTCATCCCTCTCTCCGGCCCCCCCCCTCCCATACCAACGCACCGCTCGCAAGAGCCGCGCATCCGTTCCGCAAAGGCAGGGCTCACACACAACAGGTCTTCCAAATAGCCCTACTGCCCGATACTTGTGTGCCAGCTTGGTCTGACCGTCCCCTGCCCCTTGCCCATCCCACACCCTCCCTCGTCGGACAACGAGAACCGGTGGCTGTTCGCCTGCCTGCCTGCCTACGTTTCCATGTACCGCCACAACCGGGTGAGCACCTAATCCCACGCGACACACGCGGCTCCCTCTTGACGCGCACATACACACACCGGCCCCTCGCCCGCCCTGCCCACCCCTCAGGTAGGAACCCACACAACCCCGGGTCCCCGCCGCCCACCTGCTTTGCTGCCTCGGCACTCCACTGCGTCAGGTAATACAGCTGCAGCAGACCCAGCAGGCCGCAGCCACGTAGGTCAGTCGCGGGGTCCTGGCCCTGGAAGCCCAGCTCCGCCCAGTGGGAACCGTACCGAGGGGGCTCCCAGGTCTTGCCTGTGGACAGGCGGCCAGAGCGCCGGGCGGCGGTCGGATGGGGCAGATGGGATGGGGGGAGGCGCCGCACCCTGGGCTCCTAGGTACCAAGGTCTTTACCTCGGCGGATGCACGAGTCTCCAGTATACAAATACGGCCGGAAAAGGCCTAACGGGCTTGGTGTCAGAGTCCGGTCCCTAAGCCGACGACGCCTTGGGCCTCAGTGTCGCCCTCTCACCAGTAAATGTGCCGTACAGCGCTCCCAACAGCCGTACGTGCATCGCGTCATCGTCAGCAAAGGGCAGCCGTGCTAGTGCTAGCAGCTGCAGCAGTTGATCCCGGAGCTGAGGCGTCTTCAGGTCCGGGGGCCCCAGGCACAACAATCGAGAGAAGAAGCCGGGCTGCGGCGGCAGCGCCGCCAGGACCTTTGGTCGTACTGCTGACGTGTCCATGGACATGAAGTGCAGCACGGCTTTATGGTACGATAGCGTCGTGACGGCTGCTGCAGCGGCGCCGCCGACTGGGCCGGGATCCGCTTGTCCAGGCTTGTGGGGCAAGTGATGGAAAAAAGGAGGTGTGGGGGAAGTGATGAGGAATGCAGG